TTTTTATAGGGCGAGATTATTTAGTTAAAATTAATTTTTAATTAAATATCAAATTAGAGTCCAATTCTAACTTCAACAGTCAAGACAGTTGAATTTAATCAAAATCAAAATTTAATTAAATAACAAAATTAGAGTCCAACTCTAATTCCAAAATTTTAGGGCAACATATCTAATTGAAATCAAATTTTAATTTAACAACAAATTAGAGTTTAACTCTAATTTTAAATAAAATTTTAGGGCAGGTCATTTTTAATTAAAATCAAATTTTAATTAAATGTTCAATTAGAATCCAATTCTAATTTCAAGAACATATTAGGGTGAATTATTTAATTAAAATCAAATTTTAATTAAATACTAAATTAGAGTTTGAATTAACATTTTAATTTAGGACAATACTCCTAAATAAAATAAAATAAAATTCAATTTAGGGTAAAAGTTTAATATTTAAGTTGAAATTATATTTTAACAAAAATATTGAAAGTCGTCAATTTTAAATAAAATTTTACTTTGGGTCAAAATTAAAATTATAGGTCAAACCCATTTAGAATATAATTTTAAAACCATTTTAAAACTCAAATTCAAAACCATTTAGCAAATTGGAAATTGACCCAAGTTTAAAGTTATAATCAGAATCTCCCCAATTTCGAAAATTGCAAGCAATCCCTTCATTAAAATCTGACTAAGGATGTCAACGAAACGAGTCGAGCCGAGCCGAGCCGAAACTCTAGGCTCGGGCTCGGCTCGGGTAAAACGAGCGAGCCTTTTTTGGGACCCGAGTCGAGCCGAGCTTTTACCCTACCAACAAATTTAGGCTCGACCCGAGCTTTCGGCTCGAATCTTTTCGAGTCGAGTCGGGCTGACTCGATTTTGGTGTTGTTCCTTATCACATAAGGCAGCAATCTGTTGCTTTTTAAGGTCGCGTGTTGCTGTCTTCTAAATTATTTTTTTTAATACTAATATAGGCCCATGAGCCTGAGCTGACGAGCCAAACGGATCGGCTCGGGCTTTGGTTGGCACTCAATAATGGTGCTCGAGTTGAGCCTCGAGCAGAGCTACGGGCGGTTCTGGCCAACGAGCCTGATTGTCATCCCTAAATCTAACCTTGCTTTCAAAATTACAACCAAGATCTTCCAATTTCGAGAATTGCAAAAAAGTCTTTAATTGAATATCACAACTTGACCCTAGAAATTAAATTGCAGGCAAGGGTCTACAAATTATCAATTTGCATTTGAGGCCCCCGTCTCCAATCAACATCCCGATTACAGAAATCCCTAAGAACTTCACCCATTTTCTCTTTGCGGCACGACGTCGATTACAGGCACCGCATCTGGCGATATGGCTCACCGCATGTATGGCAGCAGTGTCGTGAGCTACTGTTGCAGGGCATTTGCTGTCGTCGCAATAGTTTTGACGCTGCATTTTGCAGTCGGCGCTGTGGTTACAATAGCAGCAGCTCCCGACGCTAAAACCTTCAACAATGGCGATGATCGCTGTTGCTTTGTGTAGTGACAACCATCGTCGTAGCATACTTCAAGCTGCTCTCGACAGCTATGAAGCGGCAGAACCACTTGCTGGCAGCACTTTTGCTGTTGGCTTCAACCTATCATTTTTTGTTTTCTTTAAAATCATATTCATTCCAACCCAAAATAATTTTCTATTCAAAACAGATTTTGAAAAAATATAATTAATTTTTCTTAATTACTAGAAACGTTAAAAGGAACAAAATCAACTTTTGATTGTACCCAAAAATTCAAAACAATTCCTAGTAAACACAAAGTAGACTATGACAAGGGCGGACCCAAGGGGGGTCACATAGAGTCACTTGACCCTCCAGTTTTTCAAATTTTGTTGTCTTAATTTTCGGGCTCACTATGGAACATTAAACAAAGTTGAAATATTACATTCTTAATATCATTTTGAAGTACTCAGTACCTAATATTTCACATTGTTAATGGTGTGCAAAATGGCCAATCGTAGCAAATGTTACGATGCGTCAAAGTAAGCCATTTCAAACAAATATTTCGAGAATTTTGATAACAAGCTAACTTTGAAAAATTTTCGACAATTATATGTTAGCTGTATTTATAAATCTTCTATATCCTCTCGAATCTCATTTTGATAGTTATATCATAAATATATCGAATGATCTAAATGAATATTGAAAATAGTTAAACGTATGTCAAACGTGTATGTTAAAAAGAGACGTACAACTCATCTTTTTTTGAAAAAAAGATCAATTATTTTATTAATATTTATTATTTTTCCATGACAAATTTCTCAATATAATTTACATCATTTTATTATGAAATTTTATATGTGGTATGACATCAAATTTTATATTTTTTGGACGTAAAAATTCTTAATAAAATTTTTATTACTTCATAGGGGTTATAAATTGTTATACCATTTTTTCATCTTAATTATTTTTATATCTGAAAAAATTTATATATAAAAAAAATTCAATCATTTTTAGGATTTTCTGTTATTGTTACAGTTTCCTCTTGATCAATTAATTTTTTTTTTCAAATGACGTCAAAAATTTTATTAGGAAATTTATTAGATTATTTAAAAAAAAATTGCTTGATTTAGAGGAAAAAGTAACAATAATAAAAAAAATTCTAAAAATGATCGAATTTTTTTTAATATATAAAATTTTTTTAGAAGTAAAAATAATCAAGATGAAAAAGTAGTATAACAGTTTATAACACATATAAAATAATAATAAAAAATTCGTCACCTTTTTTAATAGTTTGATTGTAACCTCCTAATGTAAAATGTCTGTGTCCGTCCCTGAGCTCTGATACTACCATTGGAAATTTACTTAAACATCCAAAGCAGAAATTAATATATATTTCAATTTCTACCAAGGATCCCTCTGTATTTAGATAGAAAATTGTGATAGAATATTGTACTTTAGAAAAATTCTACGAACCTTTTGCTTTTCTTTTTGTTCCAACAATTTCGATCTGTCAATTACATCTATCCAATTGTCCAGCCTCTAATGGTAATCTACACAAAGAACAAGATTGCAGGATTAGAGTTTTCTTCTTATACTGGCAACAAGAATGAATTTTCTCTACGAAATGAAGACCCTAGTGATTTATTTATATAAGCCCAAACGGACTTGGCCTGATCGGGTCCAATATTTATTTAACCTATTTAATTAAATCTGGTCCGTGAATTAATTAAACCATTTAATTAATTCCCGCCTATAAATAAGCAACACAGTTAATTAATTTTATCCAAAGCTTGTTAAATTAATTAATTGACGAATTACAATCTTCTAGTTCTCCTTTTGTGTGTGATCCATCATGTTCCCGATCACAATGTCTAAAGATGTGAATTATTATTTTGATCTAATCAAAATCGATAAATTAAAACACCCTTTTAACTTATCACCAATACACATTTGTCGTCCCAAATTGACATCTAGCAATGTTTAAGGGCAATACATGTGACGAAAAATGTCACGTGGTATGACAAAATCATACTTGTGTTATTTACCGTGAAACTATAATCCCTTGATCAATATGATCCGATCAATTACGAGATATGAAAGTTTGTCAATCTTAATTATCGATCATATCTTTCATACCATTATTAAGTCAATATAAGTCAAAAACTCTTATTCAATTCGACTTCTAAGTACACCATGGCCAAGGATTTTGCTATCGACTTAATTGAATGAAATGTAGATTATAATCTTTTACTATCTAAGAGCGACGAATCATCTATTGATCATTCACAACTTTCATACAATTTTTGACATATCCGAATGATGTCGTATTAGCGGCCTTTAGCAGAACAACATCCAACATCGTCAAAGCATGTCTGTCCTCATATAAGGCACTATGATGACTTCAAGTCAAATGACCATTTTCACTATCGAACGTTAGAGATTAACCACTGACACTCAAATAGTTATCTATGTGGAATCTCCTAGTAGGTCTCCAATGTTTTTTAATATAACAAAACATTTATATGTTAATTTAAGTGTCACCACACTTTAACTTATGAGATCAGCTACTTACTTCACAAGTAAGAAATGTCACACGTGATGGTCTATCCGTAATAACGATATCCGTATCTCGTTATTACTTACGACCACGGACGATATAAAATTCAATCATATGTAATTTGTATCTCACAATCACAACTCATTGTGAATAAATTATTAAATTTGAATATACGGACTCTATTATTTAATTTAATTGAATATTAATTAAATAATAAATCTGTTATAAAATTGCATCAACTATATATTAAACGTGTTTATGTTCAAAGTCTATTGGACTTAGGACAAAACACTTGCATGTCAAATATATTTGCTCGAGCTTCGCAAAAGCAACTGATATTTTCCTTCTCCTGTTACACCCACTGGAGTCTCTAGTTGCCAAGTGACTTTCTCTCCTGACTCGAGCAAATAAATATGGGTTCGTATTTCTTAAGATAAATCCAATACCTTCAAAAGTGTACAACTGTAGTTGAGTAGAAGACAGATTTATCGGTTTCCATACAATTTGATAATGCAGGAGAATATAATGATGCAGTTTCATAGAAAAATCTCTTTAAATAGCAAACTAATCTCCAAGGTTCGTGCCTTGCTAGCTTAGAAAGGTACCTTATAATCTGCTCGCTTTTAGAAAACTTGAAATTTACACCTATATTTAAAGGATGAGAGATCTGATAGAGATTCGTTAAGAAGAATGTTTTGCAATTCTCTTTTTTTCATTGTAGTGGAAAAAATGTGCAGCGGCCAAGTGTTTTTTTTTTTTTTTGATGATTCAAGTATCCGAACTTCGCCCAACTAACCTTGAGAAATAACGGCCTTCCCCTCGGTTCGTCACCAGCATAAATCCAAATGCGATCACAACTTATACACACTTGGACCGAACATTTGAAATGTGATTCTCCTCCCTGTGGACCTCCCTTTACAACGTACAATGGCCAAGTTCTGTTTTTATTGCTCTCTGGTTTGAGATTAAGTTTAAACTATAACATAATGCTGAAACATGGATTTATTTGTGAGCTCTGAGAAGGAAAACTTCTCATGTGCAGTTTCGAAGAGTGACATTACCGTCAACTATGATACTGTTGAAAGTAGTCAAAATATGTTTTTGAGTTACAGCATACCATATATATGTAAACAAAAATTTTGTCCACCTAAGAAATGTTAGAGCTGGATGTGGACATATCTTGAGATTCCAATCGAATCTCAGGTTGAGAAACTTCTGGAGCGGAGCTTTCTGTTTGGAGAGATGCTGGTGTTTCAGTTACAGTGGGCACAGTTGCTTCCAAAGGTGTAAACTTGTTGATGTAGTAGCTTAGGGATGGTCCCGAGTATTCAGATGTTTGAATCACAGGAGGGTTCTTCCCAACTAGTAGAAGTACTAAAGAAGCGGCCGCAATAGAGATCAGAGCAAATCCAGAAGTAATAGCTACAGTGTTCTCAGATCCATCAGAAGATGACCCTCTATTTCCAGAGCTGATTGAACTTTCTGCCACATATACTGCTGGCTGAAGAGAATTAGATAGATGCAATATTACACCACTTGAATAACTTGCAAGCTTGTGTGAAATGTCAAAATGACATATTTTGGGCTAAAAATAATCAGGTGCCAAGTGGCATTTGTTAAGCACCAAAACCACGAGAACAATTTTGCAAAAGAAACTGCACATTAAATGGCTTCCAATATCAAATCAGTTAGTTCAGAACACGGATTGTTTAAAAACTTGAGCCCTTTTGATATTGATTTATGACCAGATTTCATGTAACCTAAAATATTTTTTTGATTAGGTTCTCAAGTCGTAAAACTGTATTTAGCTTGCTTGTAGGTTGACTTCCCTATGCATCCCGGTTGGGAATATAACATGAATTGTAACTGAAATGGGTTAAGTACAGTTATGTGTGGACGGAAGAGTGATGCCAAATTAGTATTATACAGGATAACGGAAAAGCAAACACTAGGTACTTGGAATGATGGGATTATTAAAGGGAATCAGATGTTTTTATCTCATGATAATTTATTTTGAATGACTTTCTAATCAGTTCAATTTAAATTGGATAGAGTAAATAGCGAAGGAGCATAAAAACCACATCCTCTTTCATTTCAGGTACAAAATTTGGTTAGAATCTGAACCATAACTGAAATAAATCTGGTCAAGTCATAAACTGAAGACATGCAAATCATCGTCCAAATAGGGTCACGAAGGAGAACTTATATGGAGAGACAACTTTGCACAGTTATCTTCTAAAGTGCTAGTTTGGCCTTTAAGAGTATCTCTAAGAGAAACATCTTATGTATAATAGAGTAAATCTTTAAATTTAGTTAGAGAAATTTAATATACACCCTAACAATACCTTCTGTTTTGCCTCTTCATTTTACTTTTTTCAAGAAATATTTATTGATTTCTCCTCTTCATTTATTGTTATATTTTTTTTTAATATGTCAACAGCCAATCAATTCAAATATTATTTCAATAGTTTAAGAAGTAGAGTATTGAAATCAATAACTTATTAAATGCAAAAATTATAAAGTTCAAATATAGAGTCTCTTGGAGCTTATTTTAAGTATTAACTCTCTAAATAAATAGTAATCTTGTATTAAGAGATACTCTTAGAGATGCTCTAATAAGTTTCACTTTGAGGATTTATTCCCCGAATGCTGCAAGTGAATGTAAACCAGAAATAATTGTTTTACCTCCAATTTCTGTTGAGGAACAGCACTATATAATGAACTTGTGTTCTTTTGTTGTAAACAAATTTTCATCAGCTAGAAGTTTGGTGGTGAGGAGAAATGGCAGCTTTACAATAGCATTTGGATTATTTGATCAAATATTAGCAGCATCAAGTTCAAAGGGAGAGATGAGAAGAACAACATTCAAAGTTCTTTCAAAAGATGCAGTTACCTGAACACATATATAAACCTACACATTCATTCATCATATTTCACTACCCCTAAGATATCGGAGAAGTGTTCATTTACTAACCTCAACAGAGTATATATTTGTCTGTCCAGCAGTGTCCTTTTCAATGTAACCAGTCCAACTCCGCTTACGGGGAGGAAATGTACCAACTACTTTTGTATTATCCTCAGCTACCCATTCCATGCTCACTTTCCCAACCTGTTTCGTCATTGTCAATGTATTAGATTCCTTTCAAGATGAGAGCAGAAAACTATCATATTGCACATGAACTTTTGATACCAAGAAACTTCATAATACAACGGTGTACTGATTAAAACGGCTTTGCCAGCAAAAGTTTATCATCTATGGAATAATAGGGAACAGGAGGAAATGGAAATTCTAGAAAATATTTAAGCTGTCAGAAGTGGACAGCAAGTTTTTATTTAGGGGTTACCCCTGTTTTAATGGTGAAAGCAGTTCATAAATAAAAATACCTTTCTGCTAAAAACAGAAATCAAAACTTAGGATCGCTTAACATTACAGCAATAATGTGGTTAAAACCAGTGTTGCGAGCCAGAAACTAAATCTAAACCCACAATGTTAATGAGGTAAAATTTGAAGAGGATTTAACCCCAGTTTGGTTTGAATAAAAAATAATAATAATAATAAAATTAGATTTTTAGTAAATTCTGATAAAAGTTGGTGAAATATGTGGTTGAAAAGTTGATAAAATTTGTGAGTCTATGAAATATGTGGTTGAAAATGAGTTAAGGAAAAATGAGAGACCAAACAGGGGCTTAATACTTCAACCATAAAGAACCAATTAGTTGAAGTGTCAGGTCCCATTCTGTTCCAACAGGGGATTGAATGACCAAGTCTGTCGCATAGAATCTACTTTGGCTCAGTGACGTATGAAAAATGACAGTGCCATAGTTTAGTCTCATGTAATGAGTGATTATTAATAAATAAAAGAATCAGCTAGAAGATGGTTGACAAATATATGGAATTAGAGCAACAAGGAGCAAGTGCACCATGTAAGTCACTATTTTAAGAAGCGATAGCATCAAATACTTAAATCATTAGTGTTCAAATAGGCCTAACATGAATATTTTTTATATGTTCAAATAAGGGATAAAATACAAGCAGAGCAGACATTGCTGATGTAGTTTCTAATGAAGGATTGCACGTTTCTCTTAACATTCTGTTCTGAGAAAGGTATATATAGCTAATACTTTAAAGACTCAATAATCAATAGCAAGCAAATTTAAGTTAAACACAGCAACTATAAGCTAAAACTTATTTTCGTTAAACTGAAGTTGTCTCCAAGCAGTTTGATTCAACATGCCACATTAAGTAACAGCTCCAGTGAAATCGAATATTATCAACCACACCAGAGTATGTTAGTTTTGGTCTACCTCTACCCAAACAAATTTTTACTGGGAACTCATTTCTCTAATGTACAGATGCTTCTTTAGGTCTATTTTGAGATCTCATTGGTCTTGTACACCAAGGCTTGTTTATGTCTATGCAAGATTCTAGAACATTGATTTGCCAACTCCATTTGTTGGCTTGTTCATTTTTATGATTCCATTTGCCTTTTTGAATACTTGCATTCTTTGTTATCCGAGTAATAAAACTCTACTTTCGTAAATTCAACTATGCTCCTTGAATTGGTTCCAAGAATTTTTACCAGTTGGAACAGCAAATTAAAATTCTCTGCTGGAACTAACTGTATCAGTTTCCACTCTCACGGGCAAAATGTCAAACAACTTCTGAACAAGCATATTTCACAGGAAACTTAAATCTTGAATTTCCACATTCAAATGACTTCTCATAAAAAACGCGTTTAGCTTCAGTAATTCTCCAAGCTCACTTTAATCTTGCATTATTCTTATACAATTGGACTCCATATACACATATAAACCTTGTGATTGAGTGAAGAAACGCAGAAGACGGCATTAATAAAGAAATGACCTCCTTATCAGGTGCACATTCTTCAGTATTGCAATCAGAATCCTCAGTAGAAGATCTCACTTTGAACAAATGCAAACTTTGCCTCTTTTTGGGCTCATTCCGGTACTTGTTGAACACCAATCTGCTGCTTGTGACTGTGCAGCTGTTTCCTGACAATGCACACGCCATAATTCGTTCACTTCTTACACTCAGTGAAATTTTTGTTCCAAGATACGAGTTGAGATTTTTTAGTTTCTTGGGACAAGTCTTATATTTTCGTTGGAGCAAGAGATTTGTGATTTGTGTTGTAGGATGAATATTCGCCCATATGATATATATCGTGTGGTTCATTTTGAATGCAACTTGAGTTGGTTATTCTTACGCGTCATCGTGGTCATCTCTCTCTCTCTCTCGCCCTTGTTTGAGCCCGTTCATTTAATAAAAATAAATTTTTGAATAGTATATTGATGAAAAATATGTGATTAAAAAATAAAGAGAAATTTTCGATTTATGTGTAATATTATTTTATTGAAAATGTGTGATTGAAATGATGCCAAAACACTATTTAAAAATGTATTATTTTCAAAACAATGGGACTCAAACATGGGCATATTCTCTTCAATGAAATTATGACTCCTCCATTTATTTTTATAATTTATATTTATTGATCTTTAATAGGACTGTAACTATTTATAAGGGAGAAGAAAACCGAGCTTTAGATATTGATGTAAAGCCGGACGAGTCACAGCCACTAGTCACTTAGCTCAGTTCAAAGTGAGCTGTGGGTACAAGTCAAACAACAAAACACTCGTGTGAGCCAACTCCCGAGGTGTTCTTGATCAATTATGTGTGTGTTTTGGTTCGAAATAGGAATGGCAATGGACAGGTTCGAGGGCGGGTGGGGCCCTTGCCCCGTTTATGTACCCATTTAATTTTTTTTTAAATTTATTTTATTGCTCTCATTCATTAGAGTGGACAATAATATAATTATTAAAATTTTCAATTAATATATTTATTTTTAAAAATTAAATTATTCAAATATTTTTTATAAACTAACACTTTTATTGTTTATATATCTTTTAGACAATCTTAATTGTCATATTCTATTAGAATTAATGAAAATTCGTAAAATTTTTTATTTAAAATATTGAATTCTTAAAAAAATAATAATAATAAATGAGGTGGGGGTCGGGCCCTATTACCCGTACTTGCCTTGAAACGAAATCTCCAATCTACCTTGTTTATTATATTTTTCTATGTTAGGAAAGGGTATTGAATCTTTTAAGTGAACTTTTTAATTTATCATAATAAAAGTCTGTATAGCTATGAATTCTCGCACATGAGAACTTCTCGTTAGATTAGTTATGTGACCCATCCGTCTAGATAATAGTCGTTCCTGATAGTTCGTTTCAATTATTCTCGATAGATGACTAAATATCAACATATGAGTCATCTGTCAATACGAACTGTCATTCTCGACAATTAAAGACGATATTTATCGAACGTTATAGTTTGATTTTTGCTTTCTTATACGTGTATTTCGCATTAACATCTGGGAATTCAAAATTTTAAATACTCTTGTCTCATTTCATAGTATGCAAACTAGAAATATTGAATTCATATCCATTGGTGTTGTAATTGTTGTTTGAACTAGATAGATGAGGCATCAACCGGTGTTCGAATGACCATGAGGGTCAATTGCCTAGTAGGAACCAAGAGGTGAATGGTATGTGCGTTAATTATGAGGAATTCAAAATTTTAAATACTCTCATCTCATTCTGTAGTTTGCAAACTAGAAATATTAAATTCTTGTCGGTTAGTGTTGCAAATGTTGTTTTCAAATAGATAGAAGAGCCATAGAGCCCGAAGTGTCATACCCGGATAACGAGGAATTTCCCTCAACTTGTGGCGTGATCGAGGTGGCCACCATGCCCGTCGAAAGCAACGATATTGTTAACACAAAGAGGTGGTGATCGACACACATTCGATTTATTGTAGCATCTACTAGGACTCCATACACCAAGGATTAGAGAAAGAGAGTGAAAAAATAGTGTGACGAAATTTTTAATACTACATTATAATCGATTTGTGATAATGTATTAAATGACCTCATTTTGCTTCCTCCAAAAAATGTGGATATAAACACGATTTGGTAGTTGCATCCACGTGTGGTTACACATTTTAATCATTTCTCGTTTCTCATACTTGTTGGATTGTTCGATTAGCACAAGAAAATTTGTTAAATTTCTTGATTGAAGTCTAATTAAAAGAAGTTTAAATATAAAAAATACTTCAGGACCGTGTTACAATTAAGATAAAATATATATATATATATATATTCATGAAAATTGATTATAAACAATTACATTAAAGATGAAATGGAACACATGATTTGAGATTCACATTTTTTTATCATAAAAATTGATTATCAACAACTATTGCATAAAATCTTAAGATAAATAGTACACATGATTTAGTATTCATATTTTCCATAAATTATGGACAAAGTTTTGAGGATAAAGGTACACTTAGACCTTAAATCATCACACCAATTGTCACTCGAGTAATACTTAAAGCTGTGATTCGGTGGTTGTGTTTGAAGTGACCATAACTGCTTCCCCTTTAAGAATTTAATTATAAATAGCATAGCATGACATTCTTCTCAGTTACACTTAACCAACTTTGTGACACTTTATACATCAAACATTTCAAATAGTTTCACTCAATACAAACCATATTGAGATAATGGGTTATTCTATGGGAAGCAACGTACCGTTGAACCTGAATGTCTGCCAATATCCAATTGGTCCCCATTTTTTCCCATTATAATTTCTTTGAATAATGAGGAAGTCAATCCTCTAAATGGTAGGAGAGTCATTTCTATCGTTTCTTTTCCCAACCTAGACAAAATTCCAAGTGAAGCTTTGCAGTCACCGCTCAATGTACTTGATGATGTGTTCGGGTTCATGGTTCCGTTTGAAGATGAATCCAACGATGACGAATCGTTGGTGAACGTTCCACCTCCTAAGATAATTGTTATAAGCTTGGACGATTTTAATGAAGACAATGGGGAAACATTCAAATGTCAACAATGATTGAAGTATGCTATAATTGTGTACGTCTATGTACTAAATTATGTATTATAGTTTTGTTAGGGATGAATATGGTAACGTCTTTATCAAATGTTCTACAACAGTTTATCTCTTATGCATCTTATTTGTAGTTACATTTTCTACTTCGCAACTAATTGTTGAGAATGACAAAAACTTTCCGTCAGGATTGATAATTTAATTTTCGGGATGTTATGCAATTTTTGCTGATGAAAATGAAATAATAATAATAATAATAATAATAATAATAATAATAATAATAATAATAATAATAATAATAATAATAATAATGTAAGTAGAAAATGATAGTGAAAGTTGAGAATGTGCTCGGGAACAGCATGTCCCCTATATATTTATTTCTAGTCAAATTTTCTACTTTGCAACCATCTGTCGAGAATGATAGAAACATTTTGTTGGGATGGTATGCAATTTTTTTAATAAAATTATTTAGATTATGAACTTAAACACGATTAATGCATGCAAACGATAATAAAATGAAAATGATAATATAATTTCAGAATGTACAAAATTATCGAGGTGAACATTCAAAATACAACTTCAAATACTTTCGAATATCAAGCCTCTTTACATGAGTTGTGTTAGAATGTGTTAAAATGATAATATAACTTCAGAATGTACAAAGCTATTGAGGTGAACATTCAAAATACAACTTCAAGCACTTTCAAATATCTAGCCTCTTTATGTGAGTTGTGTTAGAATGGGATTGGAACATATGGTCCGGTTATGACCAACTCTACCATAGCGAGTGCATAGGGTAGTACTTGTCGGAACTAAAATGAATGTAGTTTTGTCCACTCTCCACTTCTATTCGTTATTCATATGAACAAACTTTTATTCCATGCGACACGCTAAATCTCAAATAATTGCTAATACCTGAAAAGTTGATATTGCAACGATAAGAACTCTGTACAATCAATATGTCAATATTTAATTGCATGAATGTGACACTTTCGAATATTTAAATCCATTCAATTGCAAAAGGTGAAATGAATTTTTGAATATCGACAGTTAAATTAGCTATCCTGACAGTTTCTAAATGTAGAGTTTGACAGTCGAGATGTCTAATCTGACGGTTTCGAAATGTCGAATCCAGCAGTTGAACCGTCGGGAAGCTTGAAAACATATATTTGGTGCCTTGGAAGAAATTATTCTAAACATTAATGGTAATAATCAATTATCAATTACAATATCTTCTCAAAAATAAATAACTCAATGATTTATTAGATATGAAATACTTCACATTTTGTAAATGATATTGGTATCTTTACCCTTCAAAAATATTTCAAAAATCAAACAAATCAATGAATAAGAGTTTCAACAATTTCAAATAAATATGACTATATTGTATTTAACATTTACAAAATAGTAAGTTATAAGATAAAAATATAAATAATTTCTAATAGCTAATATCTCAAAATGGATGAAGAATCCAATAGTAATGTTTTATTGATGAAGGAATGAAGATGATAGATAAGAAGTTAGAATTTGTTAATAGTAAGAAGATATGTATTGATGTTAACTTTCAAATTCTTTTTTTCCTAACTAAAATTCATATTACCCAATATAATAATCATATATCCAATGTTTATAATACACAAATTAAATCATCACATCATAACATTAACGACATTCAAATCAAACGTTAAATGCTCCAAAAAAGATGTCATTAAGGATATTTTGGACATTTCATGCTTTGACATTTTTTAGCATCCTTAGTGAAAATGAATAATTTTTGTGGATTTTCAAACTTAATGACATTTATGAAAATTTCCCTTATTAATGATATCAACCAATTAGTAGAGGTACTCCATAGCATCAATTTAAAATTGATTTTTAAGTGCATCGATGATTTTGCAATTATAAAAGAGAGAAAACTTAATCAACATTCTTCTTGCCATCAACATGTCCATGTCCAAATTATCATATTAGCTAATCATTAATTTTCTTATAAATAGAGAGATACTATTTTCATGCACAATTCTCATATATCTATTATTCTATAAGTCTATTTATATTAAAATTAAAAAAAATTATATTAATCCACATTACATATCAATTTTTATTAAATCCATTCATTTACACACTATTTCATGCAAATTGAAAAGAGCTTTTTTCTTTTCTTTTTTTTTTAAAATGAGGAAATGAGTTTTGGAATAGTAATCTTTTGGAGAATGTGTGGTTAAAAAA